AGACACGTGGTTCAGACGCTCGTTGAAGTTCGATATGGCTTCCGCGTGGATGCGAAGAGTGTTGACGGCGACTGGCACGGGCATACCTCGTACCTTCGGAGTGGAAAGAAGGATTTCATCGTCCAGGCAGTGCAGCTCATCAGCTTGCAAGCTGGAGAGGCGACAGCACAACCTGTCCAAGTCAACGGATGTCATTCTGGGCGACGAAAATACCTAGCAGAGGCTTGTTGTGTCGCTTTGAGGCTAAACTTACAACGGTTCCGATTTCCGAAGCCGATGTTCACCAATAGGTCCGATGCGTCATAAGCCCCATTGGACGTTCATTTACCACTGGGTTCTACGCACTAATGCACGATGCGCCAGTGCGCCGTCCCTTAAAGAGCTCACATGTACAGAACAGCGTTGGTAAGCGCATCGACAGGCTACACCATTTAAGGTAACTACTCGAACGGCGTCAGTAGTGGGCGTTTTAATCCTGCACGATTGTGGTAGGCACGTCTTATCATGGAGGTGCTCTAAAGTTCGAAGCAATAATGTGTTGGCGCTTATCTATCGAAAAGTACTGTAAATTGATATTGGCCTTGGAAGGTGTAACGAAAGGCGACAGAAAATTTGTTCACGCAACACCAAATCGCGGCGTACCATTGAAGTGTGATGTAAGGTAAGGGGGGGACTATAATAATGTAAAATAAAACGTAATAATAATGTAAATAATGTATATAGTAATAATAATGTGAGAAAAATAAAATAATTTCAAGTATTACAAAAGATAGTGCAAATTTCCCTCGTGGTATAAGTGGCGTTTTGGTAGATAGCGGACTGCCCGTGTTGTATTGTTTTTATCATATCACCATAAATTTGGGGCGCATATTGGTGGTTTACTATTGTGGGCTGGCGTACGGTTTGGCCCATCGTTGGGTCGATAAGGCATTTCTACCTTCCAGGCAGTATTTTGTCACGTATCTTATGGTGAAATGATATCAGTCACGGAACAGAAATCAAAACGGTCGTGAACCTATTGCCACAGACATCAATGCCCACCGTACGTCCGAACCGCGTCTTCGTGAAAAGGGAACAAATACGGGAAACCGAAAGTTTGATCGTTTTTTTTTAAATACTCATATATACGCCACTGTTAACTAGTGATTTATTTTGTGGTTTATATTACACTTGGCTCAATAGCTGACTGCTTCATGTTTGGGTCGAGCCCCTTAATTGAGGAGTGGGAGGGGGTATGCAGGCAATTCTTATGTGGGCTTGTGTTAGTTCGCCGCATTCTCAGATCAACGAAGCACCACTAAGTTGTGCGCGATGAATTTGTGTGTTTCTGCGGTTGGTTTATTTATTTGCGAATGGGTTGTTTACTGGCGTACCCCTTTAAAAAATCCAAACTTGCTCACTAAAAGAGCAGATATTGACCCCTGTGACTGCACACTGTATACCCTACTGTAGTTTTTTGCGGACACCAAGTTTTTGATGGCCGACTTGGATCCGCTGTTGAAACAGGAGAGGGAGCGGGGAGGTCTCTTTCTTGTCCCTCGCTTCTTTTAAAAAAGGCGACATATCCTAAGCATTGAAAGGTTCGATGTCATGCGAAGCAGTCAGTGATTAGATGCTTTTGCAGCTAAAAGTTACGAATCGTACTGGTGCCTTTACGTAAGTTCAGGAATTTTTTTGCGCAATATGTGCTAGCCAGGCACCTCGGTGCAATGTTAAATCTAAAATTGTGTGCGTGTGTGTGTGCGTGTGTGTGTGCGTGTGTGTGCATGTGTGTGTGTTCATGTGTGTGCGAGTGTGTGCGTCTGTGTAAGTGTGCGTGTGTGCGCGTGCGCGTGTGTGCGCGCGTGAGTAAGTGTGTGTGCGTGTGCGTGCGTGTGTGTGTGTGTGTGCGTGCGTGCGTGCGTGTGTGTGTGTGTTGTGTGTGTGTGTGTGTGTGTGTGTGTGTGTGTGTGTGTGTGTGTGTGTGTGTGTGTGTGTGTGTGTGTGTGTGTGTGTGTGTGTGTGTGTGTGTGTGTGTGTGTGTGTGTGTGTGTGTGTGTGTGTGTGTGTGTGTGTGTGTGTGTGTGTGTGTGTGTGTGTGCGCGCGCGCAGTTATGGGGGGTAGAGTGGATATTTGGCATCGTCTGCCGAAACGTCACTTATTACCAAACCAGTTCAGAGCTAAAATCATACTCAGCACCTAGACAAAAACGCAAATGTATTTACGGTTCATTACCATCTCTTTCCCAAGACGTCCAACATGGCACCGACATCTGGTAGATTTATGCGGGTCTTTATTTCTCCGTTTCTCTTTATTTTATTGTGAACGAGCACTTTCCGGTTACCTGAAACCCTGGTTTGTGCCCTCCAAATTTATTAGTGCGTTTCTTTCCAACGAGACAGACTGCTGTCTGTCTCGTTGTAAAGAAACCATTAAAATGTCGAAGTTGTATTTCGCGCTTTCGGTTTTTCCTCCGCATTTCACCGAGAGATGGCAGCACCCTACCGTCTCAGTGTTCAATCGGATTTTAGCTTAAGAATCCCACTAACCGATCTTCTTGCGCAGAACGTCAAATAAGCGTTCATTCTCTCTAAAGCCTCGCTTCTGCGAAATGTCTCTTTCGAAAGACACTAATCTGCATATGAAGTTTGGCCGAGCCCCTTTCTGTAGAGGCAGCTGCTGTTCTTTCTTTTTCTAGTGCTTTTGTGCAGGATCGTGTTCGGCTTCTCTCCGCACCTCATGGGTAAAACATAGTGTTTGCGTTTGCGCATTGTTGTAGCCAGTTGCCACAACACCATCACCGCAGTGGTCGATGCTTTTCCGAGACGTATCGAGATGCGCATGCGAGATAACCACAGAATATCTGACATGTTGTCTAAGATATGTATTACGGCCCAGCACTGGCTAATATCATAGTTGTCCCACCTGAAGAAAAACTCAAATTATCAGTGATTACAGTGAACTAGAATCATTACAGCAGTGATTACCACCAGGGGTGTAGCCTGAGGGTGGCACTTTTTGCACGTGCCCGTCCAGCAATTTTTTGTTCGCCACGCATACATATCGAGAAATGACCGTTTGCCTGGCTGGCCCCCACTTTTAGATCAAGAAAAGAGCCCATCCCCCTCTCCCCCCCCCCCCTAAGAATGTCTGCATACCATCCTGTTTACCACGAAGTGAAACGTGGCGCCAATCTTTCGCGTCTGTTGTGTTTCGCGCTCTCATTATCTACGAAGAAGGCTTACCGGTCGATTGCGGCACCAAACGATCGCTGCGTCAACTTTCTTTTCTGCGCAGCAGTCATTTCCTAATCAAGTAATCCACGTACGAATTCGGGTCGAAAACTTTCTGTACCGGGGCAGGTGCAATTTTTTTTATTATTATTATTTTGGGGCGTAGATGTTTCGGTCGCGTTGTGTGTGTATCCCCCAACGAGTAAGGTTCCGTGTTTATGCCAGCGCTTACAGCGCTTCGCGTCGCTGAGTCCAGTGGCCCCTACTCTTGTCACAGCGCCCCATCTTTATGTATAGCAACTGGATACAATAAGCTAGGCGTTATCGTGATGCCCATAAAAGATTCTCATGCTATACCTCAGATAGTATCCCCGATACCCGTTTCTTCGATACTTCGCCACACTGGCTAAAAGCATGTTGCTGCTACCCTAAACAAAGCCGCAGATTATACGCATCGTTCTTTTTTTTTTGTTTGTTTCCCGAAGCTTTATCAAACTACACAACGCAGCGCTGCTTCCTTGTACGCCGAAGTTGCATTTCGCGCTTTAAGTATTGGCTTCCAATACTCACACACAGATGGCAGCACCAAGACGCTGTCACGCCCAAGTTTTGTTTTCGCGAACGGTTGTTTCCGAAGTCTCTTTCTATATCAGGGCTTTCGCGGCTTTGGTTTTTGTTTTACTTGGAGCCTGAGTGTTGCGTTCGCGTCGTCTGTGCATTTCCGACGGGTGGAGCTCGTCGTTTACGCCAGTGCTTGCAGCGCCTCACATCGTAGTAGCCAGCGCCTGCAACAGTTGTCACCGTTGGGACCCACCCGCACGTCTAGCGATTGAAGACATCTTGATAGACGTTATCGCGATACCCATAAAAGATACTCAAAACGTATCTGACCTAGTATCTGAGCAACAGGTATCTTCGATATTGCACCGCGCTGGGTTGAAGCGCGTTGTTGATACCCTAAACAAAGACGCAAATTACAAGCGCCTTTTTTGTTTGTTTTCTGAGGCTCTACCAAGACACACAACACTGCGCCGCCCTTTCTTGAATACCAATGTCGCATTTCGCGCTTTCAGTATTGGGCTCTAGTACCCACATACAGATAACAGCACCAGGCCGCTCTTAAGCACAAGTACCGCATTTGTGAAGCAGCCGTTTCTGAAGCCACTAATCTGTGAACGAAGTCGGGTCGAGCCGCTTTTGTCTCGAGCCGCAACAGTTTTGGTTTTCTTTTTCTTGAGGCGTGTGTGTTGCGCATCGCCAACGTATGGAATTAACGGCTTGGTATTAACGCCAGTGCTTCGAGCACCTCGCAAGCTGTAGCCAAAGGCTCCCACAGTCGTCACGGCGGCACATCCATATGTCTAGCGGAAGGATACATGTTGCGAAAAGTTATCGCGGTACCCAAAACACACACCGAAAACGTATCTGATATGGTATCCGAGATACGTGTATCTTCGATACTGCAAGCACTAGGTTAAAGCTTATTCTTGATACCCCGAAGTAAAAAATTACTGTATTTAGTTTTTTGCTTTTTGAGGCTTTATTAAGACACACAACGCAGCGCTGCACTGACATATCCCAAAGTTGCATTTTGCCCTGCGAGCGTCGGCTTTAATACTCATCAACAGATGGCAGCACCAGACCGCTTTTTGCCCACAAGTTTCGTTTTCACGAAATAGCCGTTTCTAGAACCAGTAATCCGTATACGAAGTCAGCTCGAGCCCCTTTCTATATCGGGGCCATTTGCAGTTCTGGTTTTGTTTTTGTTTTTTTCTTGAGGCGTGAGTGTTGCGGTCGCATTGTCTGTGTATCTCCGACGGGTGGAGCTCGGTGTTTACGCCAGCGCTTCGAGCGCCTCGCATCGCTGTAGCCAGTGGCCGCGATTGTTGTCCCAGGCTGTGAGCCTGCGCTGATTGAGTGCGGCCGCCCGGCCTTGAGTAACCGTCCGGAATCCGGCATCGCATGGCCTCGGAGGATCACTCGGCGTCTGGGCGTCGCATGGAGGAAGTTTCGGGGAGCTGACACGCCGTGGATCTGGTCGGCAGTCAGGTACGTTGTTTTGTGATCGTCCACGCCGTCAGAATGTGTTTACATTAGCGACGACGTCGCGGCGATTTCGCACTGCCGTACGCTTACGATTTTCCGCTCCCCAAATCGCAGTTCTGTCTTTTTCTGTCGACAAACACGATTCGAAAAAAAGGCGTACCTGTTTCGGCGCGTTTGAGAAGTCCGTGCGACTTCCAAAGCTTCGTGAGGTCGAACACAAACACGCTATATGTTACATGTAATAAACAAAAAAAAATTATTGCGCAAAATAACAGGTAGCACATGTTTCGAAACTTAGGTAAACGTTTGGGTAAAGAAACGGAATGACTTACAGCGGATATGTTGTCATCGACGGCGACTTCTCCTTCGTGTGTAATGCCGAAAATATGCGTTGTGAAAAAAAAAAAACTGATAGTTTTCGCGCGTTCAATTTGAAGCGTTTTCAAATCCAAACAGACTGGCTTATGCACGTGGTCGTCACCGTTGTGTTTGAAGGAGCGGCCTGTGCGATTCGAAAAAATGCGTCACCAACAAAAGCGTCCTTCGAAACTGACGCGTTTTCAAAACCGAAACGGATTTGTGAATCTATCACGTAGGTCGCCCCTGGTGTTTTAAAATACAACACCACCTCTTTGGTTATTTAATTATTGTGAGCCATTATGGTACCTTCATCCTTCTGAGCATATATGCGTGAAATATTAACCAGGTAATGTAATGGACGGGTTGTGGGCGAAGCAGCATTTTCTTTTTCACCCTTGAGGAAAACACGCCCAGATTACTCCCTTATGGTGTAACTATCTCAAGCGCATCCTTGCGACACCATTTTTTGAGTAGGTGCATCGCTTTCCGGAGCTGGGTTTCTTTTTATGAGTTTGTGTACGCGCCTTGACGGCTAATGTGTTGTCGTGCTTAACGGGGAGGGCGCTGGTCCGTGTTCCCGGCTTCCTGCGGCGGCATTTTCATTGGCGGGAAAAACTGCGAGGGCACTCGTTCGCACGTAGATATAGGCGGCATGTTAAAGAAAATCTAAGTGGTCCAGATCTACCCGGAACCACTGCTAACCCTTGTCCGTCGCCCTGTAATCACATCGTGCTTATTGTAAGTACGGTAGGGAACACTGGAGTTACATGTTTACAGTTACAGCGTATGAACGCCGTGTGCAAAAACAATATTCTTCGCAACACTACATGTTCTCTAATAATTAAGAGTGTACCCAAAACACACACCATGTATATATGTGAACGTGACATATATGTCACGTTCACATATATACATAGCAAGTAATCGTTTAAGCTTGAATTGGATGTTTCCCGTCATATTGCCGAGTAGAGTCCGTATTACGGAGACATTACGCGGCACTACGTATGATTTCTCTACGTAATTTTACGTACGAATGTTCCGTAAAGTATTAGTCCGTTTTGTGACGCTGGATTATACTGTTACCGCTTCAACGATCACTCGCATTCCTACATTGCGTCTTTCCGACTATTTCAGTTGCCTTGAAATTGTTTACTTTGAAATTTTAGTTCGCTCGGGCTTTCTCGCTCCCTTCTTAGTGAAAGAAAAAAAGAGATTTTGTCTGTCTTGATTCTTGCGTCTGGAATGTGTTGTATTTGATAGGTCCACAGACCTTGCGCGACAAGTTCGCAAATCTGCGTAGGAAAAGCGGCAGTTTGTTTCTGGTTGCGACATTTTTTTTCTGGTTCCTTTATATAGTCCCTTCAGCTAAACGCGACGATCTTGACACAACAGCTGGAAAGGCGCCACATGCGTGCTGATTGTGTTCTTTTTTTTTTCTGCTGTCCTATTGTGTTCTTCCACAAATGTGCTTTCTCTTTGCGTTCGTAAACGTATGAAGGTTCTCACCGCTTTTGGAAGGGAGATGGGCTGCCCTATGTATAGATTATCGTGTGTGCACACACGATGATCCATATATAGGAATTTTCTTTCCGACCGAGTGATAATTCATAGAATGCTTACAAGTTCTGGAAAATCCTTGAAAACCCCGAAAGTATGTCATAATTTTTGTTTAAAACCCCCAACCTGCTCCTTGTCCACATTAATGTCTTAAAGCTTTTATTGCTGTTCAATTGTAACTGGTGTTCACAGAGTGTCATGAACTAACAATGTTGCACGAAGGGGTGGAGCATTTTGAACGTGCGCGTCGTTAAGTGACTAAAAATGCGATGTCATTTCACTTATCTGTCAAGCGTAGCATAAGCTTCACGAACAAGAGATAAAACTTATCACTTTGGGTTTCGAAGCTGCGCAGGCGCGCGGTTATATATGTATCTCATGCGCTTCTTCAATGAAAACTTCGAAGTCTGGCGCTTGTGTGTGTCGCATTGCCTTGTCTCTCGTCTCTTAAGTTTGTTCAACTTAGAAGTTCAATGAATTTCCAGCTAGCCGAAACATGCACCTTGCTAAGGTGTTATTTCAACGACCTTTTGAAACAGGACGCCATTTCGCACATGATTCTCACAATGAATGAGAATAAATTTGATGCGAGTCAGCCGGGGAGTAGCTGCCAGGGCGAGTTTTTTTTTTTTTTTTTTTTTGCTTTTAGCGAAGCGTTACGAGGTGTTTCGGCAGCTTTGCGTAAGTAGAGTAATAGCGCGCACATCAATCGCTTAGCAAGCGCGCCTGCATGGTACACTGGCGTCGAAATGGTATACACGTCGTGGCCACATCACAGCGTACTTGTCAAGTTACAGAATGCACTTGCAGGTATCAACAATGTAAAGGTAGATTGGGTGTGAGCATCCGGTTGACGGCCTCTTATTCTTCACTAATCTCTCACTAACACAGAGTCCTATGCATAAGAGTGCCGCAGCGAGAAGGTACAGCATAAATTACCCCTCTATGGCAATTCACTTTTGTCACCTTTACAAGTGGTCTGATCTTCAAGCAGCGAGAAGACCGCATGTCAGGGACGTAGCCAAAAGGGACAGGGGGAGGGTGCATGGTTCAAACCTCTCCCACCCCGAAAATTTACAAATTTCAATTTTGTTTGCGTAAATATACACTCACGCACGCATACAAATGCACGCGCGAACATACATCAGCATGGTTACACCCTGACCCCCCCCCCCCCCCCTCCTTGGGGAAAGTTTCTGGCACATGTGGACACGTTCGCCTTCGCAACACGTTTGCTATCGCAACCATGAATTTTACGAATTTCTGAATATTTACGAAGTCAACGAATTTTAGTCCCGTATTAACACTGTGCAACGAAAAGCTTCTTTCTCAAAACCTCGTAACAGAGCATAGGTTTTGGGAAATACCAAGTGCACAATGAACACTCTGAACGTAGAGATTCATAAGTTGTGGCTGTACCTTCTCTGCACCTAATATTTCCCAAATCTTAGCGAAAATTATGTGTGTGAAGTCTGAAGCGTAGCTCTTCGCTTTCCTTTCCTTTTTTCCTTGCATTTTTTTCTCTTGTTTTATCGGGGTTGGCGGAGCGCTAGACAGCGGCGGCGGTTGCGCGACGGGGTCGCATCCTGATGTCTCCGACTTTGTTGGTATTTCGTGTTCGTTTTTTATCTTTCTTCGAAGCAGCTATGGCGGCGCAGCGTCGGCAGATGCCCTTTCAAGGCCTCGCGCAACTCCTGGCAACGGCGCATCTGTGTTCGCCAGGCTTCTTTCCCACTCGCATTTCCAGATCACGCTTCTTTCGGGGCCTTGTTTGCGCAACAATTGCTTCCCTCTGCCGGAGTTAACGAATCGCCTCGCTAATTCGCTTCAGTGGAGATCCTCTGGAAATCACGTATGTGCGAACATACGTTGTGTTTCCACTACTGCCTGCCTCGGTTTCAGCCCACTGAAAGGAAGATGATACGATCGCGTCCGATTACGATAATTTTGGCCAAATTTGAGTGCCGCATTTGCTCACATAGTAGCGGCTTTAGCTGAAGCTGTTCATTTTCTCTAATGTTGCCAGACCTCACGTAGGCTTTGCTGTATAAAAGCATGATCTCATGCCCTGTATCAGGAGCATAGACAAAATGGTGATTAGCTGGGCCAATTGTTATACCGGTTTATGATGTAACTATTAAAAAATGAACGGGGACACAAAAGATTAGGTTTGTGTTTCCCTCTTCTTTTGTGTCCCCGCCGTTTTGGCGCACTTACTCAATGGATACAGAGACTATAGACAGAAGTTTTTTTTTCAAAGGTGGAGGGGGAGCTCTTTTCTGGTGTGAAGAAGGAGTGGGAAGGGAGCATAATAACGTATTGCGGTTTGCATGCCATGTCGAAAAATATTCGGAGGTGGGGGCTGCATGGATCCCCTGTGTCACTTTCTGGCTACGCCACTGCCTCGCATGCGATCCGTATATCGTCATGATCAGCGTGACTACGCGCCACAGCAGGAAAATGAGCCCATTTCGTATTTCGCCAATCAACTCAGTCCTATGCTTGTTATACGTTATATACCCGCGAACTTCTGGGTCTCACCCGCCCACTTCCTTTTCCGTCTCCCGCTTGCGCGAATGCCTTTACTTGGAAGCTGGGCTGTTACTCTTATTTGCCTGCAGTGATTTCTTGCCTAGGCCCTTGTTAATTTTTTTTCTTTTTGATTTCGTCTATTAAGTCATCAACACCCGTTTCTTCCCTGACCCACTTTGATAGCTGGTAGTCTGCCATTGAAGTAACTAGAAAGTCTGCCTCGGAAGAGCAGTAGCTAAGGTGCTCTGCTGCAGACCCAAAGCTTGCGGATTCGATCCCGACCATGACCGACGCGTTTAGATGGAGGCGACTGTCTACTGTGCGATGTGAGTCCATGTCAAAGAACACCAGGTGGTCAAAATACGCGGAGCCTGCCACTGCGGAGTCTCTCAAATCAAGCCGTGGTTTTGGGACGTAAAACCCCCAGTATATTATCAACCAGAAAAACGTAGTAGAGGGGAGTGGAGCACGTTCAGCAAGGTTTCTCCCATCACAAATTCTAGTTATCCCTTGCGAGTATGAGCGTTTAATGCTAAGTCAGGTCGACGCTGCGA